TTTTGTGATCTGGTTTGCTCACACTAATCCTTTCTATTGCCCACTGCTTCCTGGTTAGTGCTGTGCTTTCTTTATAAGCCTATTGTTTTGTTTTCCAGTTGAAAGAATAGACAGAGAAAATAACTTGTTGGCAAGTGTAATTTTACTGTTATAAGCTTTGGAATTGCTTGAACAGTAAGTTATTAGAGCAGCTTCAAAACCCAGTAGTTCATAATATTGAATTTTTTTTGTAATTCTTTTTAATAAGACATAGCAACTCTGGAGGCTATGGATAGCAAGCCAGTTCTCACATAGTTTTTAACTTTGTAAAACTAGTAGTTACTTCATGCTTAATGTCTTCAGAGTATTTTGGCAAACAAGGAAAATTAGTCGGCTTGAAAAGTTTGATGACATCTATTTGATATGAGAGGATAAAGTTATTTTTCCGACAAGAAGTTTTACTGTAGCAGTCAAATTCTTGAACTCTAGAAAAGCTTATTTCAGTATCAAATTGCAGCTTTCAGAGAAACAGTTCAATTTTTTTCTGGGGAAAAAAAAACTCAAACCAAGACAAAACCCCTCCTTTCTACATTTTGGACCCTAACTTGCTAAGCTCAGAGTGCTTTGTTTTGGATACATAGTTATTTTAGAGTTCCTGAGTCCAGGGGAGGGCTTCAAAACACACTGACTAATTTGTGTCCACCTCTGTCCTCCTAGGAGCTTGGTTTTGGTCTCTTGACAGTCATGTGTTCGTGAGGGGAGGATGGGATACCACAATCCGTCCTCTGTGTCTGGTGCTATAACAGCATTATTTGTCCCTTTTTTTACATGTGAAAAATGACATCTAAATGAAGCTTTCGTTAGATTAGGTCACAACCTGTATGTTAAGACTTCAAAGAATCATAATTTTATTCCTTGTTGACCACTCTAAAAGTCTGATTGTGGACAAATTTTGACACTAATAGTGCAAGTTATTCTAATTAGGACTAGCGACCCTTTTTAAAACATGTTAGCATTTATAAGATACTGTGAAATGGAAACTACTCAAGAGGGAAATGTTCCATATCTTGATATAAAATACTAATCTTCAGGTTGAAAACATCTATCAAGATTTTTGGGTAAATTTTCTTGAGGTGGTGCTAGGCAATAGCACTTCAACATTCACCCTATTTCAGGAGTACAGTGATGTTCAGACATGTTTCGTGATGTTCAAAAAACTCTTGTACCTGTTGTTTCACATTGTGATGTCCTGCGGTTACTCCTCCTTCTGCATCAATGTACTCACGAGCTCATCTGTTTTACCACTGACAGTAACGGTGACTTGTTCATAGAATTAATTTGGCTTGGCAGTGTCTAAATGAGAGTTGTCACAGCGAGAGAAGATCTTATTAAGGAGCTTGTTAAAACCTGTTCATAGTGTCAGAACACAAACTAAGCTAAATGTCATAGTGACTGGGAGATTCTGGAAAAAATAACTGCATACAGTATTGCATCCTGGCTGTAGTATGTTTTTGTCAAGTAAAAAGAGAGCAAGTGGAGTATGTTATCTCGTGGCTGTCACTCAGAACTGCTTTTCCAGCCTTTGTGCCCACTGTAACACTAGGTTGACCAGTGTGATGCCCATTAACCCCCTAAAACTGCAGCAGTTTTTATGTAGTGACATGGTATAATGCACAGCTCTTTGTCTCTTTCCTAGTGCTTTCAGATGGTTTTGGATATAGTCTATAGTAGACTCTATGGTCCCTGTTTCTCTTAACTTGCAGTGGCCCATCCATGAGTGTAATGGTCTGCAATCAAATCTAGGACATGTCATACAGTGTAGGTTTACTACTGTCTACACCAGAATGTAGATATGAGGTATGGTCTGTTGAGAACATGAGCCTTGTATGCCAATGTGCTCAATGATAAAAAAACTGTGTGAATGTGCCAGAGGGTGTTCTCTGGATCTGTTTGCAGTCATTCCCAGTGTTTTCTAAGGTTTTCAGGATTGTTTTTTGTTGGAGGAGCAAATAAACTGTGGAAAAAAAGAGCAGGGATTAATAGTAGATGGTTTTCTAAGTTAGCTTGCTTTACCAGAGATACTGTGAAGAAGTATTCTGTTCCTTCTGTAGATGAAAGCTGCTTGCTTGGTATTGAGTCAGAACGGTACCTTGTGGGAAGGCAAAGAGGTGGAAAATGTGTGAAAACGAGAATGAGGACACTCTGAAGTTGAACTAAGAAAAAAGGAAAATTAAGTAGGCAAGTAGAAGCATCCTGCTTAGGCAGGTATCTGTTAACAGACTGCTTTAGTTACGTGGTAGAGGAAGATAAGTTCAGTGGTGTTTTGAGCATACACAGGTGGTGGGTGTATCTGAGAAACTGCCACCCTTGTCGTGTTTCAAGTTTACCAAATGAGGTCCTAGGAAAAATCTGCTACCTGGCAAACCGAGTAGATTAAACCTGTAGTAAACTGCCAGCTAGCTTCCTCATTTAGAAACGTAGTTTAACATCACAGGGCCAACCCCTAAGACAGTCGTGTTGTCAGGGTAAGGTTGTAATGTTCAGCTTGCAGTGTTCAGCTGTTACATACCACCCTGTATGAAACACACTCTGTTGAAGTGAACTCTGCTTATAGAACAGCTTACTCATACTTACATACTTAAATTGCCATTTTGGTAATTCTTTTTATTTTTGGTTCAGTAACTGTTGGTATATTTAAGGGGGAAAAAAAAAAAAAAAAACAACAACTCACAAACAGAACTGAACCTGCTTTATTGTGAGGAGAATTTCAGGGGTGTGTAGAACATTAGATACCTACTGGTTTTTAATTCTTTTCCTTGCCTTCTCAGTCTGTAGGGATGTGTCTGCCTTGCATAGCTTTGAAGCATTCTATCCTGTCTTAAGTCTACCTAGCAATGTTTGGTGTGTCAGTTGGAGAACTTCATGTAATAAAAATTAGTCCTGTGTATCACTAACCTTTCTTTCTAGGCTGTTGGGTATCTGATGTCTTTCAGCTGTTGTACATATTTCGAATAAATCCACTTAGTTTGTTTCTAGAATAAAGAAAATAATTCTTTTTGGATACGGAGATGCACATTAAGCCTGCAAGTTATTCAAGGTTTTGACTGGTCTAGCAAGACATGAGAAGACAAATTTAGAGCACTAAATAGTGACTTAGGGTGAAGGTGGATGTGAACACTTAGGGTGCTGGTAAGCAGTTACATTGACATCACAAACACAGCAAAATAAATGTACATACTCAGAAGAATTAATAGCAAACTACTAGATGGTTTCATTTGTGTAGCACTCTACATATTGCATTTAAGTTTAATTAAACGCTCTGATGGCTTGCGAGTGGTGAGTGTGGCAATTAAAGTGGAGCTTTGTCTCCATGTGTGTCTGCAAGACGCTCATCTAGAGCCACTAATGTACTGAGGCTGAGTGGCACAGTGTGCAAGTCTGCAAGTAGGTGTCCTCCACTGGCTGTCCTCCATCAGCTGAGGTCATTCCAGTTCATAGCTTGTCCATTCCCACTGGTCAAAATTCTGCTTGTAAAAAGGGGTTGGTTTGTTTCCTAATGCATTTTTAACTCAACTGGCTGATTATTCTTGTATATAATCTTACCAAAATTAAAAGGTTGTCTGAATTCCCTAAACAATTGGTCACTTCCTATTGTATTGGTAGAGGACACCTTAACATCTTCTTTTGAAGTTTTTTTGCAAGCATGAGCATCTGTATGACCTGTTAATAGTCTAGAGACAAACTCTTAAGTGCGTTCCTCATAACAGTGATCACCTTCTGGACTGGAGCCTTTATCCACAAGGCATTCTTTTTTTGGTTTGATGTTGGAAGCCTGCCATTCTGTGAGAAGTGTCTGCTCAAATGGTATGACTTAAAGTCAAATTTGAATTGTTTGAAAGATGTCCAAGCTAATTACTGAAACCAACTTTGCATACACCTCCACCCCCAGCGTTGTTTTTTCCTCCAAAAGCTGCTAATTTATTTAAAATTTTGATTGTATTGTATTGTTACTAAGGAGTCTAAATGTGTGCAGGTATTTTTACCTGTTCAGGATATTGTGGAGAGAGAAGGGGAATGTATTTCATTTTGGGGCTGGAATAGCTGATAAGATCTATGAAATAATCTAACATCTGTGTTGAGTGCTGCTTAACAAGTAGTAAATACATCACCTTTTTCTTTGGTTAAGTGCATGTGCTAGAAGTTTCCCTGAATGGTGGAAAAAACAACAGACATGGCAGTGCAATGAAGACTGGCTACAGTAGTGTCATAGTCCTGAAACAGTTTACAGTGCTTTTAATATAGTGTCTTTGCACTTAAAGTCCTAAAATGTTTGTGTTACCCTATAAGCATTTTGAAGAATATTCACATTAGCCTTCATAAACAAATAAATTGCAATCAATTAACTTTAGATGAGAGCAACCATGCAAACAAACCGCAGAGAAAATGAAGTGCAATTAATTCTTCAGTCTCTCTCTGATCTGAGCAGATAAATTGACAGGCAGTTTTTGATATAATAATGCTATGTCTTTCCAGTTCTTTCCTGTTACAGCATTCTCCTCCCTCAGGAATCCCTCAAACATGTTTTCTCTTTCCTTTTTTAAAATATTGAACTGAGAAAGTAAATTATTTAAAGTTATTCTGTGTCTCTGCACTTGTGAGTCAGCAGAGTGCATCTAGGTCATGTGTTCCCACACAGCTCCAGTGCAGAGCATCTGCTTGCTGTGGGGACTAAGCAGACTCATCAAGGTACAGTTATCTTGCCTTTTTTTCCCTCTTCTTTATGCCTTCACAAGGCTTGGGTGAGAGATGTCAGAAAATGACTGCAATTCTTTTTACTAAAATCAGGTAAGCCTCCTCCAAATCGCCCTGTTCTTCCCTTGTTGTGGGGCAGCCAGCCGAGCGATGGAGGGACTGCCTTGTCTCCTGGCAAGTCGCGGTAGACAGAATGATTCTCTAACGCATGCAGCTGTGAATTCAGCGAGCACTACTTTTGTTTGCCTGCTCTTCTTTTCCTTCGCAGGATGGCTGCAGCTCCCCCAAGCTACTGTTTTGTAGCCTTTCCCCCGTGTTCTAAAGAGGGGCTGGTGGTGTTTGGAAAGAACTCTGCACGACCCAGGGATGAAGTACAGGAGGTGGTCTACTTTGCTGCCGCAGCTCACGATCCAGGAAGCAAAGTTGAGGTAAGAGCTGTGAAGAGTCACGTTCACACTGTGAGAAATTACAGTTATTGGAAGAAGTGAATGCAGTTCTTTTCTTGTCAGATTGTAGAGTCCCTTGTTCCTTTCACTCAAACCTCTCTGGAGTAGAGAAGAGGCAAGATTTTTGGAAGTGAAACTTGGAATGTTATTTTCTTTTTATTTAATTGAGGAAAAATCAATAATCTGTACTTTTTCCAGCAGATAGGCTGAACTGTTCACACCTCAGGTTCCTGCATGGTGTAGCCTATCACCTGCCTTTTCCTTTTAAGGGAAAAATATCCTGGCTAACTGGGATTAGAAACAATTTTTTTAAGCTTGTCACTTGCCATATGAATTGTTCTCATTCATGATTGTTGATTGGCACTTGTAATGGTGCCTGACTGCACTAGGCAAGTTGCAAAACAGGTAGCCAGAAATCTGCCCCAAAGAACTTGTGCTAAGTAAGGAAGGAAAACAAGAACATAAGCTTTGTAAGCCAAACATAACCCTTGTACATACAGTTGGCTTTGAAGACAAGTTGTGCAGCTGAGGCTCATGCGTCTTGGCTGGTTTTCTGTGCTGTGGCTTCTCTCTGAATCCAGGCTGGATGTGGAGTCATGAAGCTGGACACTGATGCCATGGATGAAAAACAGGAAAACTTCAGAGCAGTTTTTTAACCTCGTAGAATTGGAAATGGAAGAAAAAAAAAAAAGTTTTGTTATTGTGGAAGAACTCCCAAAAGGTGCTCTGGAGTGTTGTTTCCTTAAAGGAGAATAGTTTAATGTCAGGGTACGTGATTGTTTAGGTTTGTTTGCCCCATAGCTTACTCTTTGATGAGATTGTCATGATTTGCTGAAGGATATAATTAAGCCATATATAATCTATTATGATCCCTCTCCCACCCTATAATTAAACAGTTTAATGTCTTTTGTAGGATTCAATCATAAAGTGGACTTTTTGTCAGTCCTTTTGGAAGCAGGGAGCACAGTCCCTTTGCCTGGCACACAGCGGTTTGTAGATATATTTTGCTAACCAGTATCTCCAAGCATTCCCCTTAAATGTTGAAATGTTATTTATTTGTTTTTAAATGAAGGTACAGCTTGTTGCAATGAAGTGAAGATGCACTTTTGCACAAGGGAATGGAGTGGGCTAATACATTCCTTTTTTTTGTTTAAGTAGGGGCTAAAGCCCTAATTAGTTGAATACATTGGCCTCTACTAGTCTATGCTACTGCATAATTCTTCATTAGCTAGCTTGAGGTTTTGCAAGTCTGGCAATGTGTCGAAAAATAGGGCTCCAAATGTTTATCAGAATTGTCCCCATTTCATCCCAGCACAGAATAAAAGCATCTGCAGTTGCTGTGGGAGTAGCTCAAGCAATTGCTTGTCATTGCATCTTTGTCACACTCAGCACCAAGTATTGTGAATGGATTTTGGTGGGGAGTTTTTTGTTTGTTTTTCTTTACTCAAAATGCCCATGAGTAAATAGAGTGAGCTGGTTAAGACAAGATTGTTTTATTTGGTCTAAAAACTGTCTGGTAGGCAGTTGTTTAATTGCTCTCCTTTAGGCAGACCTAAGCACAGATGTAGTTGTTAGTTTTTCTATAGGGTTCAACATTTTTTTTCCACCTTCAGAGAGAGAGGGTGTTCAGTTAAACAGGTCTAGCAAATATCAATGTTGTAGAGTAATTTTCTTTAGAAATAATTTTTTAAAATTTTCTTTTAAAATTGGCCACTTAGAAGGTCTTTTATAATAAACCCTTTTGCTGTAGGAATTGAGAAGGACTGACAATAAAAGCTCTACAATCCAGGTTTTAGGATGCTAAATTTGCTTGCTGGATTTGCTTCTAGATGTTGCTGGTTTATAAACTGAAGGACACTAGTGAATAAGAAGATTGCAATTTCAAATATGCTAACATTTTGTGATTGCAGAATGGCCTGCAGTTTTTTCTACTTAGCTGAAATGGGTGTATTTCTCCTATTGTAGGGATGTGGCTAAGGATCCTTGTCTTACAACAAATGCTTGCTTACCTATAGACAGAGCTTGTGCAAAGCCTGTTCATTCCCTGTGTACTGTTAGTGATACCTCTAAAAGTTAAGAGAAGCTCTATGAATGGACTTGAATTCAGCTGCTTCATGTTTTTTAAGAAGCAGGCCTGCAACACTATATCCACCTTTTCCACAAACTGACTGGGTTGTCAGAGGTAATTAGCTAATGAGGGAGTGGAGAGGGGTGTCAAAGCTCCTTTGACATATTCAGAATTATTACTTTGATCTTTAAAACCTATGAAAACTGCCAACAGTTCAGTTATCATTGAGTGGTTGTTTTTTTTTTTTTTGCTACAGCTTTCCTCCCCTTGCGTTTTATAAAGCTAACTAAACAGGTGTGAGAAAACTAAATGTATGATATTTTGCAAATGGAAAAATGTGGTTGACCAATTTCATGCTATCTTTTAAAAAGTCAGTAATCCTTCATGCCTTGGACTAAATTTCTCCTCTCATCTATCCTAGTGCTTTGTTTTTGTTGGTTTTTTTTTTTTTTTTTTCCAAAATGAGCAACTTTTTCTCTGTATTCCATATTATGCATTTGTATTGGTTTCTTATGTTAGATACATGACCCTTTCCCTTCACTGGACAATGATGGTGGACTTGCTTTTCATGTATTCTATTCTTTGTGGATAATGTCATCCAACATGTATCAAATTTTGATTATTTCTCCATGACTGTCACTCACATTCCGAACTTCTGGTGGGAGGTGGCTTTCAACACACTAACGACACAGGTTGTTCTATAAGATTCTCAGGAAGTCTGTATCCTGTTTGTTTGTGCTGCTCCCATTCTCAGTGTGATAATGCACACAGTAACCCAAAATGGCACAGCTGGGTATTGCCATACAGGGGTTGGGCAGGCTGTGCGATACAGCTGGTGACTGGTTTGTGGCAGGGCCTTAAACGAAGGAATTCAGTGAACACTACAAGTCATTCTAAGCTTGATCTTTGTGGCTCAGTCTACCAGACAAGTAACCCTGCAGCTAACTCATCAACATAATTCCTTCCCTCTGTGTCAGCAGGTTCCCAAGACCCGGAACAATGGGGCTTTTCATAAGGGTCTGTTCTGTGTGTGTGACAACTTTCTCCAAAGTTTGTTCTTGTCTTGCATTGTAATTTTGCAGTGGCAGATGCTGATTGGATTCTTCCTTGTTGTCGTGGTCAGTCTACTAAACTTGTGCATGAAGGTGAAATATTGCTCCCTTATGCATAAATAGGGTCTTTTTTGATTTCCTCTACTCAAAGTGTGTTCTTTTTTCCCCAGATGTGAATTTTAAGAATTTTTCATGTGTTAGAATTGATACTGTATGAATTTGAAGATATAATACTCTGTCTTATTTTTAGATTTTACTGAATAGGTTTTGTTCTCTACTAACCTGCTGCTTGCTGTGGTTTTCTTTCTACTGAAGAGGTCTTGGGTGGATGACTTTTAGTTGAATTTTCCAGATGGACACTTTTTTTTTTCTTTTAGATCAACCTCCTTTTCTTCCAATTTGACCTTTTATTCATGACTTAAAAATAGTCATAATTGCTTCCTTCAGTATAGAGCTGCAAAAGCTCTTCTATCTTAATAGCATGCAGTTTCCTGTAGAGAAGTGGAAAGGATGAAATAGAAAGGATGGTCTACAACAAAGTCTATCAAATTGTGGAATATTGCAAATTTTTTTTTCTTATGTGTTGGTATTAAACATTCTGCTGGGCTTAAAGCCAACTCTGTGGGGCAGGAGGAGTTACATGAGTTATGTCCTCTGAAACTTCATGGCACAATTACACCTTAGTTGTTGTTTGTTTTTTTTCTTTTTCCATTTTATCTTTTTTGAATAGTTGCCTTTTCTTAAAAAAAAAAAAAAATAAATAAAATTATATCATCCTCCATCTCCTTGCTCTGAGTTTTCAGAAAACCAGTAAGATTTTTAGCTGAGCACTGCAGACATAAACTCACCTGAAGCTAACTGAAAGGTCTCTGTGTGGTGTTACAAGACAGATGGAAAGTAGATTTTGACTGTATTAAAGTTGGCTTTGTATTATCTGTTGTCTTAATTCTGGTATTTGTAACATAATCACCAAGCATCATGCCAGTGGTGCACTTTAGTTCTGGCATACTTTGATGCCATCTTATCCCAGCTGTTTGAATTATCTACATTATGTCTGGGGGTAAGATGTTCAGAATCTGCTAACAAAAGCCAAGGGGCAGCTGAATCTGCAGGGAATTTGCTTTTTGGGCAGCCTCCAGATTAGCTTGATGGTGCCACACAGTCATGTTACTGCAGCTGTGAACTTGAACTTGGGCCCCCCCATTATGATACCTCCATGGGTAAGTGCTGACTGGCAGGAAACCTTGATGAAACATGGTTGTGTTTGTGCTCATGATGAAACTTTTCATTTAGTCTGTGTAGGTAAAAAAGGTTGTAGCCTAAAGGCTTGTAGTTCAGAGATAGTTTAGGAAGCTGCTGTTTCTTGCCTCTCAGTTGAGACCTGATAAGTGGCTGCGTCAGGAGCCTGTCTCATGGCACTCGCGTGTCTTACCTAAAGTAAGTGAGGTGGCTTACCTCAGGCCACCTTGTTTTAGCTAACCTTTAGACTTTGCAGAGACATAGAGGAGAGGTGTTGTGCAGGCAGACAGCAGCTAATAAAAGGGAGAAGGCAGTTGCTGCCTTCAGCAGTCTGTTGTTTGGCTAAAGTGAGTGTTTTCTCTGTTCTGCTCCACTGCAGGCCACTGGCCTTTAAACTAATGAGTTTGACTTTGCTTTGTAATCCAATGCACAAGGCAGCAGCAGTTCAGAGGTAGAAGCCATAATTTCTTGGATGTTTCCAGCATCTCAGAGCCTCTCTTTTTACTGTAGGAGTGCTGCTTCTTTGCTCAATTCCGCTGCCAAAGCAAAACTGATTAGCTTGAACCACCTTGGTTTTTTTTCTAATTAGAACAGAGAGGAAGATGAGGAAGGATGCTGGAATT